TTATTATTTGTGAAGAATGGTGGATACATGGAAAAGCACCATATTTGCACCAGTCTGTAAGGAAGTTGTGTTGGAAAGCTAAAAGTGCTTTAAACACGCATGTGAGAAAGCGTAAATAAATCACTCCCTATCTATTAATTCAAAACGTGTTGAGCTTAGGTGACAAATTCTTACATGGTGAAAATCTATGCTTTGTGATCTTGTTTTTATATTATCTTCCCTATATATTAATTCAAAACGTGTTGAACCTAGGTGTCAGATTCTTACGCTTTGGATGCTGACATGGCAAAAAATTATGCTTTGTGTTGTTGTTTTTATATTATTATTACTCTGGAGTTAGGTTTGGTATTAGACATAAATAACTTTGTTGGAATATGAGAAGTACAGTACCTGATCGAGCTACAAGTGAAAAATGAAGACACTTTGCAGTGATGAAGATATTTTGTTATATTTGTTATATTCTATTAAAATCGTGTAGCAACTCTTTAAGTTTGTGTGTTTTCTTTTATCTCTAGCGGGTGCGTCGTCGTTTTAGGTTTTTCCCTTTAAGAGACAAAACGATGACGTTTTGTATTGCATGAACACAATAAATACTGTACGAGCTTCATCTTCTTTACATGTACGGAAAATTACCCTGAAATGAAAAATATGATTCCTCATAAATTTCTCTCTCGTTTTTCTTCGATTAAGATGAAATTTCACAAACTTTTATCATATATTTCTTAACTCAACACTTGTACATGGGTATTGTACTAGTAACAATTTATAGCTAAACGACTTTACTTGCTCTTATTTTTAGTTAAACAACTTTACTTAGATTTTCTCCAACCGAATCCCAAAACGCAAAAAATGCAGTAAAAAGTGTCCAACCGAACTCCAAACTCAAACTCAAAATGAGTTTTTACCCATTTTCTCTCTCTTCAAAACCCATATATGCGTTTGACTGTAGCAAAACGCATTTCTTCTTTTTATCTACCATTTTAGTCCTTTATTTTACCAAAATTTATCTTTTGTATTAAATTTATATTCTCCTCTTATATATATATATAATATATATATATATTATATGTATTATAATCTTAAAAAGTTAATATAAATAAAATAATTACAATAAAAATTATGAAATTACTAAGAGAATTGATACTTATTTCAAAATACTATAAATTGAAATTATATATTTTTCTTAAATATATTTACACAAAACAAGAAAGGTAAAGTTGTATAACATGTACAATTGTGAAAAAAAATCAAAATAAAAATAAAATATTATAAAAAATAATAAAAAATTAATAAATACGTAAAAATGTATCCAAATATTTTAATAATATGAAAAAAAATGAGAA